CTAAATCATAGCACTAGTAATACTAACACTAATATTAATTCTATAATAATTTTTGTTTTTGTTTTCCTAAATTTATGAAATGTCATTTAATGTCAATGTCCAAAATCTACCAATCTATATATCAATAACTCAGTTTCTTGTAAGTAATCCACATTTATATTGTAAATTTTTATAATTATATCTATAACTTATAGTGTAACTGAAGAAGCAATAAAATATTGCGAAAGCTTTTACATAGAAAAAAGAGTTTCATCTAAAAAATAGGCTTTAATCCCACTAATAAGAAGATTTTAATTATATATACAAAAGCCACGAATATCTTTTCTATATATATATAAATTATCCATGTAGCCGCAGCAACACCGCGTGCAAACGGACAAGTCGAAAGATATAACAGAATTGTTCTATCTAGTCTTAGAACAATGGTAAGTGACGAAACTAAATGGGATGAGGTAGTACATAAAATCCGATGGGGATTAAATTGTACCATAAATAAAAGTACAGGGAAAAGTCCATTCGAAATATTTTTTGGTTTTAAACCTCGAGGCATAGTGATTCTTATTTGCGAGCGAACACCGAATTTGGGAATGATGCAGACGAAACTCAGACAAATATAAATAATCAACAGAATCTTACAGAAATAGGCAAATTAAGTGAGAAACAGCAGGCAGAACAAAAGCAGCGTTATGACAAAAAAAGAGTAACGCCATACCAATATAAAGTAGGTGACAAAGTGTTAATAAAAAACAAATAGGTAGTAATGAAAGCAAAAGCAGAAAGTTATTACCTAAATACAGGGTGTCTCATAATTAGCTGCCAACCGCGAACAGGCCGATTCTATGATCAAAACTAAGTAAAAAAGTTCATATGAACATGGGTCCGGAAATACTTCCTAAGGGTACAGGGACCCATTGAAGAGGGAGGAATGGAAATCATTTTTTTGCAATATCTCTCAATCGCGTTGTGATAAATGAATGAAATTTGGTATACAGCTAAATTTTGATGAGCAATTTGATGGACTAATCCATTTATTTCCACAAGGTCCATTGGAGTGGGTACGGGAGGACCCTAGGTACTTTGCGTATGTAACTTTTTCATCTTTGACTTTTTAACAAATTGGACAGCAAATTCCGTTTTCCCGAACTGTTTTACGTTAAAAAGGTACTCTTGTTTCAAATCGTTATCTTTAACGGTTTCTGAGAAAATCGCTCTTGAATTAATCCCACTTTGGT